ATTAGATTTTGAACAAAGTCGGAACATCTGTGGGGGTACTTTATGGGAGGCCGTTTTTATATTTTATGGAATATATCTTTTATGTTTGGGGAAAAAAATTGTTTAAATAAAAGTTACTTCTAATAATATTATCTATAATTTCTGTTTTATGTCAAAATTTCCTGAAATGGTCCGTATTCGAGAAATTTGACAAAATGTGCAAAATTCTGATTTTTATGAAAATTTATGAAAACTAAAAGTTATTTGCGATATCGATCTCTATAATTTTTGTTTATACATGATTTTTCTAAAATGGATCGTAGTGAAAAAAATTGTAGGAAATTTAAATTTTTCAGTATTTTCGTTTTCAATGAATATCTATAGAAAAATTTTTTGAGGTAGATGTATGTGGACAATGTATATATTTAGTTTATCCTCTAAACATTTATAGATATGCTGCAATAGGTTGTACAAAATAACCGGAAAAAGCCTATAATAACTAGATAGGAAAGTCATGTGTTGGACACATCAGATTTTTATTAAGATTTTTTTAAATTTAATAGGTTTTGTCCCTTTATAGAGCTTGATTTTTCCTGAAATTTTCAAATTATTATCGTTTTTTGGGTTTTGATAGTGCGGATAAAAATTGTGACATCGGACGAACGGACAGAACCAAATGCATAATACTCTTCACAGACTACTGAGTGAAGAGTATAAGAATACCAGAGTTCTCGACGAAGATAAGGCAAATTTAGTTAAAAAAATTTGTTTCAGTGATGAATCAACATTTTATTTAAATAACTGTAGGTATGTACTGGCACAATGAAAATCTTTACCTAATTTTTATTTTTAGTGATACACGAGATACAAAATAACATTAGTAACATTTGAAATATTCAAAATATGGATGTTTTGTCAGTCTTACATGTATTTATGTTTCGTCTCATCATTCCATGAAAGATTTTCCAATATCTATGTACTTACGCGAACAATTTTTCCAGTTAACGCTTATCGGTGTTTGTTAATTAAGTTTAAAAATTAGTGGTACCAAATTTAAATTTTACTCGTATATATTCTATAGTATATTGCACTGTGCATAAGCTACATAAAATATAAAAGTGTTTTGTGAAATAATTGTGGTGGTAATCAAACAAAAATGCCTGAGAATTCGAAAAATGGACAAAAACTACAATTTGCCCATGTAACTCCGTTATTGGTAATATAAGGATTTCTGTTTATTAAATTCATACGATAGTGATGACGTACATGTCCATAACGGCGAAAAGAACTATAAAATAAACAACAGCACAGTAAACATACATTTATTTACTAAAGACTCGTAGGTAGTTATAGTCTATTTTTATGTATGAGAGAGTAATAAAACAGCATTTCTAATGCAAAACTTAGTACGGTCATTTTAAATATTTTTACAGAATAATCTAAATATTTCCTAAAATTGTAATAAATGTACCTGAGCTATTACAAGTTTTGGGTCTTTTATTGGTCCTTTATAAACATAAGCTCTACAGAACAATAGAAAAAGGTTTGGATAGTCCAAAAGCCCTGTGTATTAAAGATTACATAGCTGTATCTTAAGATTATTTTCAATAAGTACCTATTTGCCAATTTTGTTTCATTTTAATTCCAAGAATTTCTTGCAGTAATCGAATTATAAGTAGATAAATACCTTCCCAACAAATTTCACCGAAAATGCGATTATGCGAATATATTATTATAATAATAGTTGAGGCTAATCTTGACGTAGAAAATACAAGTAACTGTCACCGTTAAGACGATCTGGAAATCTAAATGGACCAATCAAGTAGGTGTCAATAATACCCACCCACACATTAATTTTAAACTCTCGTTGAAAGTGTTTCTCTTTAATGGCATGTGGATTTTCATCTGCGTAAACACGTTCGTTATGTGAATTTGTTATACCACGTCGTGTAAAGCATGACTCGTCTGTAAACAAAATTTTTCTGTGAAAAACTGGATCGGCCGCTCTGTGCTCTTGAATAACTTGTACAAAATGCAAACGAGACTCATAATCAGGAGGTAGGAATTCCTGGACACTTTGAATGTGAAAGGGATACATAAGTTGTTCTCTAATTATTCTGTTGGATGTGCTTTTTGAAATCCTAGTTTGGCGTGCCAGTCGTCGGGATTATTTTCAACTATTTCAAGTATTCCCTCCTCTGCAGCAGGAATTCTAACATGACGAGGTCTTCCAGCATTATTTCTGTTCGGTTTCAGTTGACCAATTTCTCGAAGTCGCCTCTCGATAGAAGTAAAAGTCTGATGATTCGGAATTCGTCGATTTGGAAATCTTTCATGGTATACCCGAACACTCTCACGGCAGTTGCCATTACAGAAACCAAGCACTAGCAACATATCAGTTTGTTCATTGAATGTGTACTCCGTACCAACCACAAAATGTTTGAAATAACTCCTTCACAAAAACTTTAAATCGAAACAGAAAAAATACAATACATACATAAAATGAGTAGTATCGACAATTTTTACAGTTCTACAACATACATATCTGTCAAAATTATCAAATACGTGTTTTTGACAGATCACCATGGCAACGGAGGTATTTTAGTGGAAATTTTTTTCTCGTGGGGTACCCAACAGCGAACTATACTGGAAATTTTTTGACGTTTACAATAACAGACCATTTTTGACAGACTGGTTTTTATTTGTTCACATAATAGGTTTAGTTTTGATACAGTTTAGTTACAATGCTAAGGTATTTTCTATAATCTTCGGCCACTTCTTTTCTTCTTAATGGCGAAAATGCAGGACTTTGGATGCTTTGAATTATGTGTCTATGTCTAATAAAATATATATATAATATTTAGACACTAATTTATTCACCTTTTTCCCAGCCACAATCCTCTATTAATCCGAGTAAGTAAGTCATGGTGCAATGTTTGATCATTACATCAGACAATTTGACGCATATTTTGCATAGCGTATGATTTTAAAATCGATTTATTTTTAAACAAATAGGTAATTTTGTTGGTTTTACTTGCTGTGCAATATTCTTTATCGCAACAAAACGCGAGTTATTTAATGTTTTGTACTGTCAAAATACAATGATCACAGCCTCCTACGATTGATGCTTGCTAACGCTGGTTATGAATTTCATACCATTTTAAAGCGCTCATAACGCATGTTAATAAAAACGCAGAAAACCAATTTTCTACCACTTGTATTTATTCAAAACTTACGTAAAATTAAAGAATATACTATTTTCTATTTTCAAATGGTATTCCCATGCAACTACAATGAGAAGAAATAAGCAATTTAAAGGCCTAAATAATTGCAGCGAAACATTTTTTTACGTCGGACCGCTTGACAACTTCAAAACTGAAATTATATTCGAGGTTAGGGTCTCACTTAGTTACCATGACAACTCAACAATCAAGGCGACAACACCTTTTATGTTTCACTGGTGACTTGGAGGAAATAATTTGCTTTGTTGAGAAACGAAAAATAAATTTTAAAAATATTTAATTTTCAACCATAATTCGGCGTGGAATTTTCTTACCGAATACCACGCGAGGTCAAATTAATATCAGGAAATTTTTTCTCGCTCATGAATATTTTTAGAAAATTTCCCGAGTCGCAGACGAGGGAAATTTTCAAAATATTCATGAGTTCGAAAAAATTTCCGGAAATAATTTGACCTCTAGTGGTATTACTAGTGAAAATTTTAAGTGACTAACCCCCAGTCCATAAATTTTTTTTTACTCAAATACCATGAGAGATACATGTTTTTTGCAAGAAAGAAAAAAGCTACAAATGAAAACAGCTCTCCACAAAAAAAATTTAGGGAACAGGGGCGGTCCTGAAAAAAAAATGAGATATCATTTATGGTAGGATTAGGGTGGTTTTTACCCGTTTTTGTGTTATTAAAAAAAATTGAAAATTTTCTTCCAACTTTGAAGCTTCCTCACAGGCAAACGATGGACTTTATGATATAGGTAATTTTGGCTCAATCGACTTATTTTGATCTCACCAACATACAGTAGATCTATGTACACGGAATTTTGGGACACCCTGTATAATTGAAAAATTAAATTATTATTTAGTAAGCAAATGGAAAAATTGACATATAAAGGAAAAATATTATTTGCCTCAAAACAAAACCAAACAACACTTTTACACTTTGTTAAAATAACTAAAGATATCGGGGCGTACCTCTAACACAAATTCGCTCTACAAAACTTTTACTTTACTTTGAAACAATATTAAGTGGCTTCGGTACGTAGGATCCCGAAGGCACGGTCACGGCTAGAGCGGTATTTCGGCCAGAATTTCGGGCACAGCTCTCACTCTGCTCAATTCCATTTAATTTAGATCAAAATTTACGTGACGATTTAATTATTATTTTTATTAAGAATATTAAGGTATTACCTGAAATAATTGTTTGGTTCACTGAAAGCCATTGACTGGATTAATAATCTAGTTGTTTAGTTAAATTTAGTATGGTTTTTTAAAATATGATATTTAGTTGAAAATTTTAGAATTTTTGTGATTTTTTGTTTGAAGGGCTTATTGTAAAAACATGATAAGCCACATTTTTTAAAATAAAGGCATTTTTACTTCACGACAATAAAAAATAAAGTTATAAAAGCTTGAACAAAAAGGACATTTTTCAAAAAATACCATAATTAACAATCAAGTGATTGCATTTTAACAAAGTTGTATTAGTTATAGAAGTTCATTTTAACCTTTGAAGACGTGTTTTCTTAATAAATTAGTGTTGTGGCTTATCATGTTATTCCAATCAGCCCTTCAATTATTAGTCAAAGCCGATTTTTTTTATCAAAATTAGTCTGATAATCTAGATACCGGGTATTACAGAATTGAAATACTTACGCGTTTCGAGTTTTTAATTGATACATTTTGCATATTATCTGTCGTTTATTTAAATAATTAACTCATTTTAGCAAATAACACATCGGTTATTATTTTTAAAACAATTTACGTAATTTCCAATTTTGTTTCAGTCCCAACCCGTCCATATAGCGGCATTCAAAATGGAACACGATCCAGAACCAACGACAAATGTAGAAATGAAAGTGTACAGGTACCGATGGGTACAGTTGTTCATATTTTGTTTGTTTACTGTGATTAATTTTATGCAATTCCTACAGTTTACCATAATTGCAAATGTGATAACTAAGTAAGTACTTATATGTTTGAATAAATAAAAATTATGCAAATGGGGCTCGTTAAAAATGTTCTATAATGACTGAAAAAGTGAAAAAATGGGTTCTAAAGGTATACAAATTGTTTAATAGATGTTGAACTCATTAATTTAAAGCCTGAAGCACTTCATTGCAGATCAACTCGTATATTTCACATTCGGGATTTCCACATTCGGGACTTTCTGTTTTATACCTGTATGTTTACCTTTTTCTTCCGCTTTTAAGACTTCAAGTTTATTTACCTGAAAATTAGATATAACTTTTTCGCATTTGGGACTCCATTACCTGAGGTCCATACCAAGTACGAATAATTATCATCAAATTCAATAAAATTTAATAAAGTTGTGAAGTTTTTCTCATTGTATGTATAATTTTTTGCGAAGCAACCCACGATTGGTCTAGGTCGCACAGGTTAGGTATTTTTCCTATTTAAATAGAAAAGTAAATAAAAAATAACTAGTTTCGAATGCGAAAATATTTAATTTTCAAGGCTAATACCACAAGAGGTGAGAATTTTTTGAGAACATTATGCGTCTAAACACGAAATCCTTCTTAAAATACCACGAGACGTCAGTCGGTGGTATTTCGGAAGGATTCTGTAGAGTGAAGTTTGCATAATTGGTAAGGAAACTACAAAATGTTCTCAAAAAAAATTCTTACCTCACTCTGCAGCTGCATATTAACTTTGTTAAACATACCAAAGATTTTCTTTCAAATTCGGATTTTTTTCTTGTAAAAACTCCGACACAAATTCAAAAATAGCTGAAAATCTTGCTAAGCAGGAGCCTCTTGATGGCCAGTGAACTTTAGTGTGCAGAAGTAACCGAGTAAAAACTTTGTCGTTTTCTTAACATAGCTGAGCAAATAACCGAGAGTTCAAAGAATTGCCTCGGATCTTGTGACAGCATTTATAACATTGTAAAGACTGGTGCAATGTAGGACTTTTTTGCTACTAAATGCTGTTTGTGAATCACACAGTGAATGACCAAAACCTCAGGCAGTTGTCGCTTTAAGTGAGATATAAAACCATAAGAACATATATGGTGCACCATCAGTCGCAACTAGGGTTGCCAACTTTTTTAACAAAAAAAAACTATAAAATTGTTTAAGTAGGAAAAATTAAAGTATTTGGAAGAAAAAAAAAGTATTTTTGTATTGTCTTGAAAAACGTCTATCTTTGAAAGTTTCAAAGCTTGTTTTACAAATCGAAACTTTAATTTAAATTCATCGACGCTCTGTTCCCTATTTTTTGTTACTTTTGTCACAGATTCATTACCGAAAAAACTATCTCAATGAAAGCTAAAGTGGTGAGAACAGAGAGTTAATAATAATATTTACTTTAAAATGGATTCTTCAATTATTATAAACAAAAACAACGGACAATTTTCATACAATTTCGTCGATAGTGACATCTGTGATATATGTCACCTGTCACATCTGACATCTAACATTTCGTTCAGTAATTATTAATCGTTTTCATCATAAGTACATTTTGTTTTAACTTTATTTATAGTTTATCTATAACGTACTAATTCATGTATTTTAATTTATTTATTACATTTTGTCTTTACTGTCCAACACTTAAATTGAATCTTCCCGTTAATCGACAAACTCGCGCTATTTATATAAAGCCAGCTCGGTACCAGAACACTCTCGGCCTTCCAGAACGTTCGGGAACTCCCTCTCTATGACTCAGACGCCACATAGCTATCTAACCGGTAGCTTCTCGAAGCGATGCGTTTGTCTCTATATGGCCGGCGCTAGACTTCACACCGCAGGCAAGGAGTAAACAAAGAACAGAGACGGCATCGCGTCATATTACGTTACCTTTCAACCTAGTAATAATGTTGTTTTGGTCCTCATTTTCCAGTTAAAAATAGCACAAAATAATTAAAACACAGTACACGACAAAATAACCCACTTTTTTGAAAACTAAATAACTTTAATAAACAATATAAACACACTGCAAGTCGTTGAGAATAAATAATTAATAATGATGTTCTAATCGTGGTTCTAATTGTCAATAAAATGATGCCTATGCAACTAACAATACAAGAAAGTAATATTGGTTGCCTAAATGTCAATAATATTTAACCAAAACACAATTTTAGTCAATATTAGATAAAATATTGTATTGTTAGAATTAACTTCAAAACTATTGTTTTTAAATGATTTATTATATACTATAACACCCTGTATAGCCACTTCATAAAACACGTGTTAACATAGTCTTATAACGTTTTATTAAATATCTCGTATACAATGTTTGAAATGTAATTAATTAAGGAACAAAATAAAGAATGTCTTTAAAGGGCATAAGGCCTATCACTTCATCGCGTTCGGCTGGTCGAAAGTCAAGTCCCCGCTCTCCTGTTCCTGGACACTGCAACTGGCAGACGTGGTACCGTCGACCCCAGTGGCGGCGATATCCTAATTCGCTGACTCTAACAGACACTGCAATGGGCAGACGTGGTACCGTCGACTCCAGTGGCGGCGATATCCTAATTCGCTGACTCTAACAGTATGCAACACGTTACGAAATGCCGTTTTATGTAACACTCGTTCATGTTGCGGGACCTCGCTTTACTCGTCCCGCAAATATTCACTTGTTATATAAAAAAGGCATTTCACAACTGGTTTCATGAATAGTTATTAAAATTAGTTTTTCTTAAGAACCTAAAATATTTTTTTTAATTTGTAGATTTTTGTTAGTGGGTCGTAGAAAAAATATAATATACAACTTGAGTGGATTGTCCATATCCACTCTTGTTACACAAACTACTATTTCAAAAGAGAGTGAAATGTGATTTAATTTTATTTTATGAATTACTAAGTCATAAATTCAAAACTTTAAAATAGTCATTATTTTAATAACATAATAATAATAATAATAATAATAATAATAATAATAATAATAATAATAATAATAATAATAATAATAATAATAATAATAATAATAATAATAATAATAATAATAATAATAATAATAATAATAATAATAATAATAATAATAATAATAATAATAATAATAATAATAATAATAATAATAATAATAATAATAATAATAATAATAATAATAATAATAATAATAATAATAATAATAATAATAATAATAATAATAATAATAATAATAATAATAATAATAATAATAATAATAATAATAATAATAATAATAATAATAATAATAATAATAATAATAATAATAATAATAATAATAATAATAATAATAATAATAATAATAATAATAATAATAATAATAATAATAATAATAATAATAATAATAATAATAATAATAATAATAATAATAATAATAATAATAATAATAATAATAATAATAATAATAATAATAATAATAATAATAATAATAATAATAATAATAATAATAATAATAATAATAATAATAATAATAATAATAATAATAATAATAATAATAATAATAATAATAATAATAATAATAATAATAATAATAATAATAATAATAATAATAATAATAATAATAATAATAATAATAATAATAATAATAATAATAATAATAATAATAATAATAATAATAATAATAATAATAATAATAATAATAATAATAATAATAATAATAATAATAATAATAATAATAATAATAATAATAATAATAATAATAATAATAATAATAATAATAATAATAATAATAATAATAATAATAATAATAATAATAATAATAATAATAATAATAATAATAATAATAATAATAATAATAATAATAATAATAATAATAATAATAATAATAATAATAATAATAATAATAATAATAATAATAATAATAATAATAATAATAATAATAATAATAATAATAATAATAATAATAATAATAATAATAATAATAATAATAATAATAATAATAATAATAATAATAATAATAATAATAATAATAATAATAATAATAATAATAATAATAATAATAATAATAATAATAATAATAATAATAATAATAATAATAATAATAATAATAATAATAATAATAATAATAATAATAATAATAATAATAATAATAATAATAATAATAATAATAATAATAATAATAATAATAATAATAATAATAATAATAATAATAATAATAATAATAATAATAATAATAATAATAATAATAATAATAATAATAATAATAATAATAATAATAATAATAATAATAATAATAATAATAATAATAATAATAATAATAATAATAATAATAATAATAATAATAATAATAATAATAATAATAATAATAATAATAATAATAATAATAATAATAATAATAATAATAATAATAATAATAATAATAATAATAATAATAATAATAATAATAATAATAATAATAATAATAATAATAATAATAATAATAATAATAATAATAATAATAATAATAATAATAATAATAATAATAATAATAATAATAATAATAATAATAATAATAATAATAATAATAATAATAATAATAATAATAATAATAATAATAATAATAATAATAATAATAATAATAATAATAATAATAATAATAATAATAATAATAATAATAATAATAATAATAATAATAATAATAATAATAATAATAATAATAATAATAATAATAATAATAATAATAATAATAATAATAATAATAATAATAATAATAATAATAATAATAATAATAATAATAATAATAATAATAATAATAATAATAATAATAATAATAATAATAATAATAATAATAATAATAATAATAATAATAATAATAATAATAATAATAATAATAATAATAATAATAATAATAATAATAATAATAATAATAATAATAATAATAATAATAATAATAATAATAATAATAATAATAATAATAATAATAATAATAATAATAATAATAATAATAATAATAATAATAATAATAATAATAATAATAATAATAATAATAATAATAATAATAATAATAATAATAATAATAATAATAATAATAATAATAATAATAATAATAATAATAATAATAATAATAATAATAATAATAATAATAATAATAATAATAATAATAATAATAATAATAATAATAATAATAATAATAATAATAATAATAATAATAATAATAATAATAATAATAATAATAATAATAATAATAATAATAATAATAATAATAATAATAATAATAATAATAATAATAATAATAATAATAATAATAATAATAATAATAATAATAATAATAATAATAATAATAATAATAATAATAATAATAATAATAATAATAATAATAATAATAATAATAATAATAATAATAATAATAATAATAATAATAATAATAATAATAATAATAATAATAATAATAATAATAATAATAATAATAATAATAATAATAATAATAATAATAATAATAATAATAATAATAATAATAATAATAATAATAATAATAATAATAATAATAATAATAATAATAATAATAATATATGGTATACGGTAGTGATTCTTCAATCAAGTAATTTTTCGAGAAATATAAAACGATATTGCATTGAAACCATTATTCTCCAATGTAATATTTAATTAAGTACCTATTATTGACATTTCTATAACCTTTACATGTTGGTAAATACTATCTACCTATTTAGACAAAATAAAATAAATAGTATATTGGCATATAATTTTTACTTTCCTGTAACCATTAAGTAAAGAAATTAAAAAAATTATTCGCCTTCGAATTTTCGACGGATCTTTACAATGTTTATTGTTTGTTGTTTTAACGTCTACAAAATTGTAACAGTGAGTAGGTAATGAGTGAGAACATTTTAAATTTTACGCATAAACAAATAAATTGCTGTGTTTATTCTAAATTGTCGGTAAATGCATAAAATGAAGGTCTGCACCATATCTGCACCTTGATACTTCACGGTTGCGTTGTCTTGTTAATTGAATAATAATGCATTTTGTGCATAAGTGGTTTGCAACGTGTTTCATAGACTCGTTTAAACATCGAGATCGAATGAAGTGGAGACGATATAAACACTATTTTGCGATATGACAGATAGTTGCACTTCGAGTGATGGAAAAGTGTAATCAAAATAGAAGTCAATAATTTTTTAGATGATGGACGAAATGTAAATGTTTTTATATCATTTAATTGAAGTTATTTTAAAAAATAAAATTTCTTCTTAGCAAAACCAAAACCAAACTAGTGGTCCAAAAGAAACCAAAAGAAATTAGTTTTTTCAGGAACCATACGTTATTAACCGACTACTAACCGCTAGTAACCAGGATTTTTGACAGCGGTTCCTGAAAAAAACTAATTTCTTGGTTACTTTTGGACCACGACCGAGATTTATGTCACTTTTGTGACAGATTGACATTCGACTTAATAGTAACCATATTTAAGTTTAAAAGTTTCGTGATGAATCCAATGTTTCAAAATAAGTTTAATAATTTGTACTGGATGATCACTAAATAATAAATATATCAGTACAGTGACAAATAGCGTTAAAAACTTAAACCAAATATAAATGCTTATTTTATTAACATTCCTAAATAATCTCCTACATGGAGAGATTAAAATGCTCTTCTTATATTATTTTTTATTGTTAAAAAGGTAGGTACAAAAATTCAAATTTGTAATTCCTTAATTACATACAGTGTCGGCTATCGAACGCTTTCCAATACGCTTTGCTTATGTCCAAGTGAATTTTACAGAGAGTTGACATGACTGTTGATTGCTGACAAGCGAGAACTGGCGTGTGACCTTAAAAGAGACAAATATTGCCAGAATGGACCTTAGCAATTTCCCATGTTAATTTACATAAGGAATGTGCTCAATAGCCGATACTGTATACAGATAAGTAAAATTGAAAAATTGTTGAAAATGTTAACAAATAAAATACCTTAAGAATGTTTTTGTTTTATTCAAGTTAACATTGACTTTGAATATTAGCTTCTTTTTTCATGAATAATTTAGATATAGGCAACATATTATACACTACTTACGACAAATTTTCAGTTTTTCTATCTATTTCTTAAAATAATGTAATAGTAAAAAATCTTGTGTGCATTATGAGCGAAAAGTTCGTTGCCGTTTTCGCTCTTAATACACAATGAGTTATTTTAATTCAAGTCTAATAGTAATTTTAGTCCTTAAAAATGTTTGGTTTCGAATAATTTAACTCTTATAAATTGTTCACCATTATGTTAGGAAAAATCTACTGTTGCTCAAGGTGCGATAGAGATTGATATAGATTTCTGAATGGGTTTGTAAGCAGTGGGTGAAAAGTGCTTGAAATCAAACATTTGTTATAGATTAATAAAAATAATTATGGGTTGTTATATTAAGAATTAAATTAAATATTAGGTACTATATAATATTTTTTTTTTTTTAGATATTATGGCGTAGACACATCACTAGTAGATATTAGTGGATTAGTATTTTTTGTAGTTTATATTGTACTGTTTTTACCAATAAGTTTTCTGATTGAAAAATATGTAAGTATCCTTTTTTTAAATTCCTTATATTTTTATATTATTGTTCCTTAGACAAGGAGAGGCGATGATTATCCTCAATTATTGCTCTGCACATAAAAGGGGTTGGGTACAAATTTTGACGTTATGGAGAATGATTCGTGAATGTTTAGGAATAGCATTGTGTGTGTATAGAGGATCAAAATTAATGAGTAGACAAGTTAAAAAAATTTCAGCGTAAATAGACCTATCAAACATTGAGATGATGCTAAAATAAATGAAGAGTGTGCTACAGGTTTAAAAAATGGTAAATAATTTTCCTATAATGTTTAATCAGAATCTGATAATAATCAAAAGAGTATTTAGAAGATAAAGGGTCTATGTATAAAAAAAATTGACAAAATTTTATGGATAGAGTATCTATGTAACTTAGAATGGTGCAAAAGCCTCATTTTTATTAGGCACTAAAAATAACAGTTAATTTATACATTGGATTAAGGGCATATGTACAAATAAATGTTCATAGGCCCCTTATCCATTGAAAACTGGTATCGTTATATGTGTTTCTCTTTGAAAGCAGGTCCTATGTTTTAACAGTTGTAAACAGGCGTGCGTCATCCAGGCACACATTAATAGTTTTACACCTTTTTTTCTCGCTGTTGCTAGGTACACGTTAAAGTGTACACAAATCAAAAAATTATATACACGCGAAACGTCATATTGCTGTGGTGGGAGGTGTTTGTGTGAATGCGTGTTGTTTGTTTTCATTTACGCCGTGACTAGCAGCTAGCAGTAGTATTTTATAAACCTTAGAAGCAAATTTCACATACATGAACAAATAATAATAATGCCTGCCGTGACAACAAGAAAATGAAGCAACGAATTCTTGCAGGGTAGCGGCTTCGCCGCCACCAGAAAATTTTAATCCATACCTGGCTACGCCGACCGGCATGGACACAGCTCACCTACTCTGTCAAGACGTTTTGCGTGTATATAACTTTTTGAATTGCGTACACTTGTACACGCTAACTTTAGCGTGTACCTAGACACTGTGTTTTTTTTAGGTTAGATTTTATATTACAAATATGTTTTCAATAAATACACATTTATAGGAAAAAAGCTGATATATTATAGTCCTTTTGTGTTAAATTAGGCACAAAAAACTTTGAACTGGTTTTTCTCGAAAACAATATTCAAGTAGATAGGCTCTTCATCGATTCACGTCTTCAAATGTGAGTTGCATACTAAGAAATGTATTCTGAGGATTGCACATTTAAAAAAAAATCGAATTCAACAGAGGTTTAAAAACGTGTTCATTGGATAAAGAAAAAATGAGGAAATGTCAAATTGATGTAAACCTAATTGAAAATCTTTAAAAATTGTTTTAGCCATCCCCATTGTCCTACATTATTTTTAAAATATGAGCATTCCTCATAATATATTTTTTTAGTGTCTTGTAAATTTTTAATCAAATCGATATTTCTTCATTCTTTAATATACATTAATCACGTTTGTAAATCACTGTTAGTGAAATTCTCATGGCTTATTGGATTCGGATTTTTTGAAATGGGCAGTACTCAAAATACATTCCTTAGTGATTCATAATTATTTTGGCACAATTTCGATGTTTGTCCATTTTTATATTACAAATAAGCACATGCACCATTATCTCAGTTTTAGTCACCCCTATTGAAATATTTTTTGAATGGGCTATCATCTTCAGAATACATTCATCGGTTTTTCATTATTTCGATGTTTGGCTATATTTGTAAAAGAAACAAACACGTATATAAGTACTGGTACTAAAATTGTCAGCCGTTTCTTTTTTAATTTTACCAACATGCCAATTAGAAAAACTAAAAAATGGGCAAGCAAATAATTACCTAGTACATTTAATTTGTGTCAAATTTTTTTAAATTTTTTTAATTTTAAATATTATTTTTTTTTTTTTTCAAAAAACTAATTGACGGGCAAACGTGGGCAAACGAAATGCTATTATTCTACGGAATTAAACTATAAAATGTTTACTTTTGTATGGAAGTTGGCTCACTAAAATTTTTTTCGATAAATTTTGAAAACAGCGGTTGGACAAAAAAGTTATTTCATAGGTAATAATGGACAAACGATGGGCAATCCTCTCACAAATTTTTGCAACATTTTTGCGATGTTGCCAAGTTCACGAACCTTCAATAACCGATAGGTTTTCACCCCTTTGCCGTTTTCAGAGTCGCAATGTTTGAGTGCAGCCTCCTTTTATTTATAAAAAATTAATAATTGTTAAATTTTATTTTCTTTTAGAATCTGAAAGTAACTGCGATAGTCAGCACCGGTTTAACCTTAGTCGGAAACGTAATAAAAATATTCTGCGGCCATCCAGATAGATTTTACTTGATTTTGATTGGTCAGACGTTTTGTGCTATAGGGCAAGTCTATATGCTTAGTATTCCAACGAAATTTGCTTCGACATGGTTTGGTGCTAACGAAGTTTCGACTGCCTGTGCCTTGGCTGTCCTTGGAACACAGCTAGGTAACAATATATTATTTTTTAATTAGTGCTACAAGAAAAAATCTAAATTTCGCCATTTTCTATTCCCCTATGAACAATTCTGGAAAGCATTAGAACTTATACTTTTGTATTTTGGAATATGTTTAAAGTGTAAATGTGACAAAATAATATCAACAGAGATATTATTGACACTATACAGGGTGTATCATTATAACTGACAACTTTTAAATTAGGTACAGGCTATTTCTTAAAAAAACAATTTTTTTTTTTTTAATTAAAAGGCTTTCATAATATTATATCGGTGGTCTGAGAATATATTAACTGAAAATGGAGACAATAAACTTAGGTCTTTAACTCAATCGAACAACAATTATTTAAAACTAATATTTAATCAAAATTACAATCCAAAGAATTATCACTATCAAAAACATGACTAATTTGGTCATCTACATCCAGTGCTAGAAGCATGGATAAAGCTTCACTAGAAAAATTATTTTTCTTTAATTTTTCAGTTTTTTTTAATACCAGTAATAACAAAATCTAAAGAGAGAAGAAGCCTCCTAAAAACATCTTCATTAGTTTTCTCTTGAGTTATTTTTCTAGCGAAGCTTTCTCGATATTTTTTAAAATCTTTGTTTCTACTTTCTGCAGCCTCTTCTGAGAGCTGCTCAACTGGAAGAAGAACGAAACGAATAATTTCTGCACCTGAATTAAAATTAAGTGAACTGCTGGCGTCATATAATACCAAGGATATTTATCTATGAGTAATTGTGCTGTTTCCAGGCAATACATTTTAAATAAATCCGCATTAATGTTATGATAACTGGTAATTACTTCCAAAATAACACTTAATTTTTTAAAGACATCTATTTTAGAGGAGACTTCCGGATTTTCAAAATAACATCTTGCCGTATTACCGTGATTGCTACTTCCGTATACCGGTTTTGGTTGATCAATTATTAATCCTTATTCCTGTTTAAATTCCCGTTGAATTCTCTTTTTTTTATCAGTAGCGTTTCTAACTTGCCAACATTTTACTGGTGGTTAATATGAAAGGTGCAAAATATACTCAAAAAACTTTTTTATTATGAGGGTCACATGCAAGCTTGACTTATTGCACAATTTTATATGTCCTATTCTCTAATTACATTATATTGATATTACTTCCACTAAAACTGAAAGTGCCTCTTCTGGTGGCTATTGTGTTTTAGTATCTGAGGTCATAACTTTATTTAAAGCAATTATATATTCAGTAACTTTCGCAGGATTCTTATAAATTTCTTGTAATAGTTTGGAGGCTTGCACGTTACCAGATTTTCTGAGCTTTATTCGAGCCACATAACAGATAACCTCGACCGAATTATCCTTGTGCAAATCAGCAATTTTCTGACTCCTACTACTTTTGCAACTAAATGAAAAATCAATCAACGGGCGGCCAATTTTTGATTGAACTAAAGCGTGTGTATAGTTGGTAAAGACCACGTTGGTATCTAGCCAGATTTTACTGGTTTCAGAAAACACTGACGGTAATCTGCAAGATTATTGCCATTTTGTTTTAAAATCAAAAATAAATTTTGAAATAATTTGAAACTTGGGCAGATTGTTAAATTTCTTATGTATTCTTTAAAATATGAAGGATATTCTTCAATCTTTTCCCACATATCGCTTCAACTAATTTCTAAGTTCAAATAATCTAAAACAACACAAACGTTGAGAGCAAATTTATTTACTTTAGAAAAAATCATTTCATTGCAGAAACAGTTTTTTAAAACAGTGCGGAAAGTATCAAGAGAGACTGAATATAACTAAAATCATCGTACTGATAAATTCCGATTTAATTAGGGTTTTTCATAAGCTGCGTATTCTGGAGGAATAAATGTAATAACTTGGATCACGCATGAGGCAACAAAACATGAATTAAAAAGAAATATATAAAAAAAGTAATAGATTTACAAAAATATCACTCTTTTGCGCCTGCCTAAATTACGGCATTATAAGCAAAATGTAGCAGCTAATCGCAATACCACTATAAATAAGAATGTTCACGAAAAGAAACTATGCCAAAATCTACACTGAATACGGCAAAATTTGCTACTTTTAGTCTAAAAGAAATCCTAGAGCTGAATAAATTTGTTAATTTTTGCAGAACTCATGAAAATGCCTTCTTGATAGAGTAAAATTCAGTAATAAATTTTTTTATACAATAATAATCTACTTACCACGTCGATTATTTTGCATAATTATTATCGAAGTAAATTCGATTATTATAGCACAAAGAGTAGACAGAATTTATCAATCAAAAAAATTACAGCTGTCTTTTTAAGTTTTGCATACCGTGCATTAGAGGGCGTTACGAATCAAACGGCTCTAATAGGCCTTTTCGTCACAATTTTTTTTTGGGCGCATGCGTCAGTATCAGCCATCTTTTTCGTACTGTTTTTTGTAAACAAGCATGTTAAAATGTCCACGTGAAAAAAATTATTATCGATAAATAATAATTTTAAGTGTATTCGTTTAAAAAATTGAATAAAAAAGTAAGTAATAAGTGTCTTAATTGAAAAATCAATTTTTGCAATCAATTAATTATGTTATCTTTACGGAAAGGCAAAATTAAACGGTATTGTTATAAGTATGTAAAAGTGATATACGGTACAAATTATTATTTTATAAAAAGCCTTGCCTGCAATATCATAAAAAAACAAATCATTAGGCAAAATACATATTAAAACATATTCAAAATGAGCATTATGAGTGAAAAAATGTGGTCGAAGTGATAAAGGTTTTCGATCGATTGATGGATGATGTTGTTAAAGATAGGTACTTATATTTGTTCAATACATTTTCATGGATAATGTGGTTCAACAGAAGAAAATCCTTGTCTGGTATTACACGGTATTTTTTATTATTAAATACTACTTCGGTATACACAGTAATATTATTAAAAATGTCATGTTGATCCTTAAAATTTTAAATAATTTATCTTAATTAATTATACTCGTGATTAACTTTCATATTAAAGTGTTTTTGCAATTATTAACAGTTGGTTGGCATAATTAATTAGAATAGAGTTATAATTATTATTTGTTTTCATTAATTTTTTACACAGTTAATATGTATTGAAACCTAACCTCTCAATCACCACACTTTTCCTTGTTCCGTACGTCCACGTCACTTCAAGAACCTTTTTAATTGCTCAGAACTATGTGCTTCCACAGTGTTATAAATATGTAAATCACCATCAATGATTTTTTCTAATGATTGATTTGTATGTAGAGATAATATTGCTTTTCCAGCCATTGTTGGTCTACGAAACTTTTGAATTGGCGCTATTTCAACATGGCGGCTGCGCTTGCGCTAGTCACTTGATGAAAAAGGCTTATGAAAATAAACTGTCGCCTTTAGTTAACCTCACTTCCAAGTTTCAGTCCGATTCATAGAGTGTTGTAGTTACACCGAATTTTTTACAATTTTCGAAGACAATTATCTCAACAAGAATGCCTCGCCGAATTGGTTTCTGTTTTCGGTAGTGATGCACCACATCAATCGACAATTTCTCGTTGGTATGGAGAATTTACACAAGGACGGGTTAATCTTAGTGACGAGCCAAGAACAGGTGCAACTAAATCGGTAGTCACCTAGGTATCCATTGATGCTGTGCGCAGGCTCATCGAGAAAGATTGGCATGTGACATATCGCGAGATTGAAGCATAGTTAGGGATTTCAAAGACCTCAATCCAAAAGATTTTGCATGAAGAATTGAGAGTAAAAAAATTAGTGTCCTGTTGGATACCGCCATCTGTTGACCGAAGAACAAAAAGAAACTAGGGTAAATTGGTGTCAAAAAACTCTGGAGCGCTTCAACGCTGGAAACTGTAAAAACGTGTACTGCACCGCAAGTGGTGAATCATAGATGTACTCATATGAACCCGAAAATAAACGCCAGTCGTCTGTTTGGGTTTTCCAAGATGAAGACAAGCCGACAAAAGTGATCCGTTCTCGAAGTGTGTCTAAAAAGATTGTCGCAACATTTGTCTCCAAAGCAGGTCATATTGCAACAATTCCTCTGCAAGAGCAAAGAACTGTTACTGCCGATTGGTATATAACGATTTGTTTGCTAGCAATCATCGCTAAGCTTCGGGAAACCAACTCCAAACGACGAATCATCCTCCATCAAGACAATGCAAGTGCGCATAAAGCTCGCAAAACAATTGCCTTCTTAGAGCAACAAAATGTCGAGTTGTTAGACCACCCTCCTTACAGTTTCGACCTAAGTCCCAACGATTTTTTTTACCTTTCCGAAAATCAAGAACGCACTGCGTGGGCAACGGTTCCAGTCACCAGAAGATGCAGTTGAGGCGTTCAAAACAGCCATTGGAGCTGTGACACCCCAGGAGTGGAATAACTGCTCTCAGAGCTGGTTCGAGCGCATGCAAAAGTGCATTAATATTCGTGGAGAATACTTTGAAAAACAATAAAATGTTTAAACAGTATCTGCTGTTTTATTCTAGGTCTATATGCAAAACTTAAAAGACAGCCCTCTTATATGCATTTAAGACGACGCTATTTTTGACAAGCTTTATCTTTTGTTTTATCACGCAGACAATCCAAGGCTAATGTGACTTGGAAAGAAGGATTTATTGCAATAGGTTTACCGTGGTTATTTTTGTCAGTTACCTAAATTTTAATTTTAGAGTTTTTGGTGAGTTTTATTTAACGTGGCCCCTCTGTGGAGCGTCTAGGAAGACCACCCTTACAAAAACCTATTTTAGGCGATAATTTAAAAATATCAAATAGGTACAGAAATTATTTGGCTTTAATAAGTACGCAAAACAAAAAACCATTTTGTCATTGATATTGAAATAAAGGTTTTGAGTTTTTTAATCTGCATTGTTTGAATGTCATAAACAATTGTTTGAAGGTACTTAAATAATTTACTTAGAATTAAACACTTCTCATAATAGTTGCATACAATATTTTTTCTACTAACGAGCACATTATCCACCAATATTAGAAATATAAAAGTTTCTTTTTTCACTAAGCTAACTTTTTTCACTTTACGCACTAATGAAAAAAGTACAACTTTACGCACTCCGTGGAGTACGTAAAGTATGTACTTTACTCACGGTAGTAGAAAAAATAATACATAATATAGAAGTTGATTAATTAATTAAAAAAACCTGTTGAGTCAGATTGTTAACAATCAATTTATAATTTATATAAATTTGTGTCATTGACGATAGAGATACATATTTATGAAGTCGTGATTCTGAACTTGAATAATATGTTTTTTCCTTTTTGATATTGGAATAGTTAGACTGTGTGTAGATACTATAAAAATATTTCTAGTAGGTACCTGCATGGCATATTTTGCTCATAAATCATAAACAAAATTGCGGAAAATTTTAGTTGCTATGCCCTGAAGATACAGACTTTCTTAACAAGTAATTTTGTTGTATAACTCACCTATTACATAATTTTATTTGTCTTAAAAATTGGCAATACATTTTAATATTTTTTTTTTTATTTTAATTAAAACAATCTTGTCTTCCTTGGTATTAGTTTATAAGTTTTATTATCATAGGTACAGATAGAGATAGTTTTTGACTTGTGAGAATAACAACTTTTTTTAATTTAATAACGTTCATAATACGAGATAATCCTATTATTTATCTAATAAAATCATGTGTTTAATCTAAACAAATCAAATTGGATTATTGCTTCGTTTTGTATTCTGTAATCACAATGTAGGTATTTATTATAACTAGCAAAATGATGTTTTTAGTTTCTGCAGGAGTTTTTTTTTCTGTAAAGCACAGTTTATTTACAAAAACATTTATTTATAATTTTACAAAGTATTCTTCTCCACAGAAAACCATACTTTAAAACATTTTCTTTAATATTTGGGCCTTAGTTTGTTTATTTCATTTTTAAAGGCATCAACCTTTTCTTGCTTTAATTTAAAAATGTGATAAAAAAATGATTAATACTATTTTTTCTCTTTAAATAATTAATAATTGGATGATCTTAAAATGGCATCTCTATGTTTACTGTTTATTATTTGCAATTGCGTGAGAAAATGGTGGAAATTTATAGATTTTCTTGTCAGCTTTTTGTTAAATAAATTATGTATAAATAATATGATGGCCATGTACGAAACTCAAGTCTTTTGTTATATAGTCTTAGAATCAATTTTTCTAAGCATATTTTAACTCTTTGGCCACTTGCAACACTAAAGTCTTTGGCTTTCCGAAGCCAAGTTTATTAATTAATCATTCAGTGAACACGGCTTACGCATACAAGCCTCGAAGATTGTATGCGAAAATGAGGCACCTAAATAAGTCTCTACCTGACGGTATATAAGTTGGTAGTCGGATAAGGATGTCGCTTGATTGAATTCGGAAGTTTTAGAATTTAAGGCTCTAGTGTTTTGGTAGTAACAGCATAGGTAAATCATGGATTTTAGTGGTTTTTTGCTATAATAGTGTTTCCATTGCGGTAAAAAAAATGTCAAACGTTCTCCATTATTAATGCCTTTAGGTTTTTAAAATACTCAATTTGACGAGGGGTTTTATAGGATGTCACTACAATGTTTAAAGTTAGTGTTATGTTTGATGGTTTTATGGCTTTTTATTAGAGATAGTGTTACATATTTATTCCTTGATAGGTCTAGGTGTATCAGGTTTTATTCCTAAGCTGAATGTTTAGCAATATTTTCTTTGAAATCATTATGAATGTTTGAGAATTGATTGAATTTGGATCGTATCATAGTTTGGCTGAATATCATTTTCAGTTAAGTCAAAAATAACAATATTGTTTTTCCTGGACTCAGTTCGCTCAAGATATCTGTTAGAACTTTTTTCTTACGATCAGGGAGTCCAATTTCACCTTGCATTTTTCAAAATCATCTTTTAGGATACCTAGTTCCGTTTCAACCTTTTCAACTCTTTCTTCAAATTTTTGAATAGTTCTTAATTTTCCTGTTAAATAAGAGCAAGTTGGCATTGTAATTTTGAATCCAAGTAGTTCTTTATTTTCTTAAAAATTCTCTTCATCGTTGTTGGAAATTTTTGAAGATGAACTATTTACACTTTGTTGTTTACAATCGGAATTAGAGGGGTTGCATTTATAGAATAGAAATAGTTTTCTTTTGGAATCCTTCATCAGCGTAGACATTAATTTCATCAGTTGTTAAGTTGCCACAATTTGTTGCACTTAATACTGAAATCGCTTTTTTTATAACACTTAAGCATTTGATGCATGACATTATGGATAGTAAAACAATTCATAATAATATTTAAATATTAGTCGTATCTCGTATATTTTATAGAAATAATGGCACGATCTCCTCTTATCTTATCAGCAACGCTATTAGGCATTCCAAACAAAATGGCTGACCGTTTGAAATGACAGGCCACTGACAGACATATGACATTTTATAATATGGCAACACTGTGAGCCTGGTGGTTTGATAGGGTAAATGCTATAGACAGTTATATAGATTGATCATCCACGATTTTAAAAATAAACATAAGCTTATGCCTTGAAGTAAAAATGTAAGCAATTATTTTTTTTTTTAAATATCCAAAGGCTGAAAATCGGTTTTAAAACACATTTTTGCTAAACCGATTCAAATTAATAAATATATTCCAGACAATATGGCCGCTCGCAAACGACCAGCTTTGAGCAATCTATATAACTATACGGAGTGGCCCATAAGTCTGGAAACGGCCAATTATCTCGTAAATTGCCAATCCTAACAGTACAAAATTTGGGGTACACCTATTTTGGGAAACGGAGATTTCAGATTTGATATTTGCAATGTTGCCAGATTTGCCGTTTCTTTTATATTATTAGTTACTTTGGTTTTTCAAATTCATCACCCTGTATATTCAGTCATTATTGGAATCTCCTATTCAATACGAGTTCAACCATATGTAACACTTATGATTTTATGTAGTCTGGGAGGTCTTAAATAAATACAAAAAATCATGGAGAAATGTGGTAAACGCATTCTACCATCGATTAGGGTACTGTCAACTCACAAATGGAGCACATTTTAAACACTTGATAAAGTAACCATTATGTTAAAAATGTTATAATCTTTTAATTGTTACGTTTTAATGTAGTTGAAAATAGTTTGTATTAAAAAATTATTGAGACAATTAGGCGTTGCCAGACTTATTTTATTTATTTAAGACTTTCCAGACTACATAAAATCATAAGTGTTACATATGGTTGAACTCGTATTGAATAGGAGATTCCAATATTGATTGAATATACAGGGTGATGAATTTGAAAAACCAAAGTGACTAATAATTTAAGAGAAACGGCAAATCTGGCAACATTGAAAATATCAAATCTGGAATCACCGTATCCCAAAATAGGTGTACTCCAAATTTTGTACAATTAGGATTAGCAATTTACGAGATAATTGGCCGTTTCCAGACTTTTGGGCCACTCTGTATATGTATCGTTGACCCTGTCAATGACAACAGGGTTGCGGGTTGCCATATCTAAACTGTCACTCCCCACTGGTAGCCATTTGGACAGGTCGTTGGAATGACTAATTAGGCTACTTTTCACTATTTTTGTTTTTACTTGGATTAAAATAAAATGAAATAAAAACTAATTTACTGCAATTATACAGATTAAAAACGCGGTTTATTTCAATCACTATAAAATTTGGAGAGCGTAGTTTTCACTCTTTCTATTGGTATAAATTATAAGTTTGTCTTTGACTGACCCGAAAGGTTTAATTCTCTTGAGTCTTCATCTAACTTCCATGTTATCCAGGGCAGAATAGCTCCAACGTTAACGTGATGTAGAAATCGTTCTTCAAGACTTTTTAAAAATTTGGTAATAATTTGGTCAGCAATCTTCATTCTCCACTCAAAAGTTGACTTAGAGTTTTTGCAAGCTTCTGTACTTTATGTTATGATCTTCGAGTTTTCTTTTGACGTGAAATCCCCATGCTTAGATATTTTGTTGAGTTTGCGTAGAGGATGTGAGCACCATATATTCTAATATTTAGATGCTGATTGAAGTTGATATCACTAGAATCAAGAAAATATTTGTATTTAACGACATCAGTTTAATTCCCTTTGAATTAAATAAATTTAACAGTAAAGTTTCTAACGATAATGAGGTGAAATCGAGGACTAAGAACTATGCTAGTTCAACCTTCTTGAACCATAATTTATTTCTACTTTTAGGAGCTGCTTTAGGAGCGTTATTTCCTCCATTTTTAGTAACAAAAGGCGAGACTGACGAACAAATTGGAAATGGCATATTTAATATGGGTCTTTTATATGCCGTTCCAACTGGAGTTATATTTCTAATAGTAATATTATGTAAGTATCGCATAAAATTAATATTCTAATTTATTTTAATCGACAGTGGCCTGAAGTTTTTCTTCAACAATTAAGTACTTGAATAATAAATAATACGGGGTGGGTGGCTCAGTGGTAGAGTCTATGCCTGTGGATCCAAGGGTCCCAGGTTCAAATCCCACCAGTTGGCCGGGATTTTTTTAATTAATTTAATTATTTAAAATTAATTCTGATGCCTTGGTAGGATTCCCAACTCGACCATTCACTGTTTGGTTCTAATTATGCTGTTCCTAATGTGGCGCTGAGAAACACTAACAACGCCTACACAGAACACGAGGCTAATGGCCTTAGTAGTCGATGCAGATGACAACAAATTAAAAAATTATTATTGTGAAATAAAGTTTATAGATAAATAAAAAATAATATAAAATTCAAGAGACGCTAAAATGGTGATTCCCACCTTATTGAAACTGAGGCCCACAAGGATAAACTCGTAGCATAAAAAAAACTAGAAATGATTTAACTTGGAACGAAAGACCGAAAGCCGATAGTAGTATTAAGACGTTGAATTTTCTGGTTTGTAAAGAGCATTGGCATTACTTAGGTCAAACCATGTGATGATTTTGACAAGTCTTGATTTTTTAAACCATTCTAAATCGCCGTTTGATTAGGGTTTATAAACTTGTTCGAGCAATTTATCCAATAATAATTGGCCCCTTTACCTCTTAAGCCTGCTCATGTAAAATATTTGGGCTCCTTACTTTACCTATTAAATAAATTGGCTTTCAGTTCAGAAATATGTTCAGTACATGACCGATATTTATTTATAAAATAAAAATAACATAGTACCATCGCATCAGATCTATTAGAAAAAATTCAGTATAATTCGCAATATCACAACAATAATACAAGAAGACAATTTGACTTTCATGTATGGCAAGCCATCACTAAAATAAAATTTTTATTAAAGGTTTGCAAAAATGTAATAGACTGCCTACAGAAATTAAAAAAAAAAACAACAATAAATGTATTCAAAAGTAACCTCAAACAATAGTTGCTAAATAAACAGAACAGATATACTTTTTTTGATAATACTCTTTAAACCTGCCCTTTTAAAATATTTCCCTTAATTTATTGTTATTTTATCGCTCGTTTTATCCGCATTTATTATAAATTATTTCTGTTTTGAGATCATGTACTTTATTTTAAAAAATTACTTGATGTTATATTAATACTACATACTATGTTTAAATTATTAATAGTTTTGTGACTATAGGTTATAGCAACTTATAGCTACAAAACTATTTTTGTGTTAAAGTAGATCGATAGAGAGCAATATAATTTATAAAGGCCTACTTTCAACATACAAATAAATGACAACTTTATAATCAAAATGAAAAACAACAAAATCATAATTGATCAAAATTTGAAATGAGTTGATCATATTACGTCATTAACAACCAAAGTTAGAAGATTCATTTTTAAATTTTATGAATTGAGGAAATGTATGACTAGGAGTTTACTAATTAAGATTTACAATTCGCTGGTTGAATCCACAAAGCACATAGAGGTTCCACGTGAATGACCAAGGTCAAAACCGACAACTGACATTTTTTATACTATTTGCTCCAAACTTTAGATGGGGCTACTGGTGAAATTATGACATTATTATGATTTCTTACTCCATTTTTAACATAGAAATAATATAGAAGACCAATATAAATATAACATCCAAGCAGAAATTGAAACCTACTGTGCATAAAAACGCGTCTCTGCGCCTGACATCTCAAAATAGTGTGTCTAGAAGCTTGCGCAGTATGCATGACTTGTCCCTGTAGTGTTGCCAAGTATATTAAACATACCTAACACAAAAGAATTTTAAATTAATTTATTTTTAAATTACATGATTTAATCAGTTTATATCTACGAAATATCGCCCCAAAATAATTTATAAACATTTAAATAATCAACTATAATAGTAGTAATATTTATGTGTAATTACATTCCCAAAAATATATACAAATACGGTATTAATGTACAACAAGCGATTCACCTACAAATTCAATACTGACCTGGCAACACCACTTTAATCCGGTGTTTCAAGGCTCTATGACGGTGCCGTTACAGGACCGTTTGTGATATTTTGGCTTCAATTTGTATTTTATTATTTAATTACACGACATTTTATTTTTAGTTTCGTGTAGTGTTAAGTTAAATCCTAGGTACAATAAAAGACATTTTTACATTGGCTAATGAAAATGTAATCAATGTATTTAGCAGCTGTTATATTTATTACAAGATTTATGTCTAGAAATTCAAACCTACCTAAGAATTATAATTATGTAAATAGAGAGCTGTATATTTATATACAGGCTGTCCAGCGACGGGGAGACGTTATCGGTATCTGACAAAATAATGAATGATTTTTTGTTAAAAATAGTAAACAGGCTATGATCTTTCCATCTAAAATATTTTGACAGTTCTGTTATTTCCTTTTTATTTTAAATGAGATGCCACTTCTATTATTCCTGATAGCGATGGAACATGAAATGTTGCTTATTTGGAATATATACCTTTACACAACGCTCATGACGTCAGAGACAGTTTCAGTCGGGTATAATTTAAAATAAAGAATTTTAAAACGAATCGTATTAATTTGTACCTGTACCTAACATTTATGGCATCACTAGCCGAGTTGGCATCGGGTATATTTTCAAATGTAGAAACTGAAAATTAACCCTATTAAATTGTATACTTTTAAATGCGGGTTTCAAGGCATTTTAAAATATAAACTCGATCTCAACGAACTTAGAAACTTCTGTCACTCGATATTTTAATCGTTACTTCCTCTTCGCTTTTTGGCCGGCACAACAATTATTTACATTTCTTCATTCTTTACCGCGTGCGAACCAGTACGGTTTAAAGAAATTTTAAAAAACCTACTTTAAAAATGAAGATGTTAATGATTTTCTCATGGATCCCATCTTCAGATCCTGACTTAATTTATGTAGTATTATTCATTTTCTAACAAAAAGAGAATCATAGAAACCGGGCAACGTGGTAAAGAATTATCGCTCAACATACATAAAAAAATATTTCAACGAATTGAGAATATCCTCCCATTTTAAAGTATGTTAAAAAAAATTGTTAATAAAGTGCAAAGTAGGGTGATAATATATATTATGAAGAATATAAAATGATATATAAAGCCAGTGTAGAAAGTATTATAAATAAACTGTGGAAATATCGAGAATCTCGATTTTGAATCGGAAGAAGAGTATTCTATGCAATTTAGAATGAAAAATGATCAAAATGAAACAAATGAACGACATGCTAATGTTATTGACAACTTTCTTCAAACATTTTCTAGTTTTCCGAAAACTAACTGGATAGTTCGAAAATCATTTCCGCCGTTAAAGCGCCTCTTGTTCCGAAAAAGATACACGCCTGTCAACATTTATCGTTCAACAAAAAAAGTATTAGATACAAAACGCTTCGTATTGTAAGGCCAAAATATATTTGGAAATCAAAAAAGTCATATAAACAAAAAAATCATTATAGTGAGATAACTACCAAATTAATGATTTACAAGTTTATTCTTATTATCTATAAAATAGGTTTGCAATGTGCTGATGTGGAATGTTATCATCGACTAAAAACTTTAAATCTTTGTATTAAATTGATCGAAAACAATCCATAAATTGGTTTAGACTATACAGAATGTTTCTAATAAGCAGCGACTAACTTTTATTATGAAAACGAAAGACCCTTTTAAAAGGGTTTAAAATTAAAATAAAATATGTACCAAGTACCAAGTAAATGTAGTAGTATTTTTTAATTTTGAATCTTGAGAGATGCAGACATATTTGGATACTTTATATTGAAAATGGTAACATGAAAGGTTTTTTGTCTAATTATAAGTAACGACTCACAGTCTTGGCTGACAAAATATAAAAAAATATCGAACATAATATTCCTGGGCGAAACGCACCTGCCCCCTATTTTGCGCTACTCAAATTAAATTTACTTGTAGCAAATGATACTAAATCAAATAAGATCTCGTGACTGCAGCACTAATGATTTCTGTAAATTAACCAATTCATTTTTCATGCCATATTTTTCTTTCAAAAACATATTTATCCTACTTGAATTTTTTTCATCGTTTTTTATATAGAAGCATCTCTAAAAATGTATGAATAAAACATGGTTTGAACTATTTGTTCGATCAATAAAAAACTTGCACCGGTCCTGTTCGAGCCAGCACCGTTATACGCATGAGCTCCGACACACTATTTTCTCCTTAGGGTTTCAGTTTTGATATATGGAATCGGCTTTCTATACTATTTCTATGATTTTTAAGCCTTATGGGAGAAAAACTTAACCGAAGACTCCAAAGATGTGACGTGTATTTATTTATGTTCTTGGTTAGTTTCATTTTTCCGTCTGATTTTAGTGATTTTTTGTTGGCTTTGGCTTTTGGTTTCTGTTTATAGTTTCGTCTTAGTTATTTGCAAAATTGTGATGTTTCGCTTTTTTATTTCCTACTGTGTTTTGCAATAATTTTGGTGCTACGTTGAAAACTTCGAGAAAAACTTCATTGATTCACCATATATTCACCATGCATCTGCATCATAAAAAGACAAACGGGGACAACAACTAATTGATAATCAATTTATCACTGGACTAGATTCCGAAATCATTTTTCACATAAGAGAGTAATACCACCATTTGTATTTGGAAGGAAAATACCTATTTATCATTGAATGAATAGTTAAAAGGATTCACCTTTTAATACAATACCTATATTACATTTGTCCTCAGTTAAAAAGACATTTATAAAATATGTAACTTTAGTGTTAATAAAATGTAATATCCTAGTCTCTACTTCACATTTAAATTATTGATAGGTATTTTAAAGATTTGAGATTATATATCTATTTGCTCCAAGTATTCGTTAAATATGTATTATTATTTGTATTTATTTTTATCTAATAATATTTATTTAAGTTATTAATAAACATATTTTAAGAATGTTCTATTTTATTATTTATTGATATATCTTATATTTATTTAATAAAAACCAACTCTCCACATTAGACCCCTTATAACAAATTAATTCTTCAAATTTGGTATAATCGACCTAAATTATTTTGTAAAATAAAAGTTTCGAACTTACTAGTTCCATACTTTATTTTATAAAATAATTTATGTGGAAATCATTTAAAATTTAATTTAAAACTACTACCTACTCCTAAAAATTACAATTTGAATTTACCGCCATCTGTCAATTGTCATTTTAGTTCCAGCTCCAAACACAAGGTGGCGCTAATTTGGTTTAAAAGTTTAACATTGGCGTGGGGTCGCTAGAAGATACATGCTTTGTGGTTGAATCTATTTTGCGATATGGTATAATGTGGACTATATGATATTGCACTTTAACCCCTTAATGTAATCCAAAATCATATAATAATTATTATCTACAAAAAACCAGCATTATATCTTACCTCTCTTTTATATAATAAAAAAGTGCTTTGTATAAGACCAACATATTATTTGTCTTACTGTACCTTTATTTATGGAAAGCCTGAATTGAGATACACTACAAGTTATTTGCAATACATATCAAAAAAGCATACAATTGACATTTAAGAGCCATTCACACATCACAATTATTGACATGTTGGCACAGCCAAGCATTCTGATTTTTGCCAAATAAAATGGCCGGTTAATTATTCTATGGGGTTGCGATAGAGAGCCAGTAAATTTAATGAAGGTGTTTTTGTGGGCGCAAAATAATAGTAAGCTTAAGTTAGTCTCCAAAATGGCTATGGTTGCAAGTATGAAGGTCGAAAGCCCGCCTTAGAAATCTTACCTTTATCATCAACAGCTGTTGTTTGACAGGTCGTCGGAGAAAGTTTGCAATGGAATGTTAAGAATGTTAGGAATGTTAGACGTTAGGAATGTTAGACGTTAGGAATGTTAGACTTTACGAATGATTGGAATTCGTTAAATTAGTCACATAAGAAATGTATAGGCGGATTTTAAGAAAATTGATATTAAAGTAGTTAGGATGAAATGAAAATTCTAAAAATCAATAAGGTTCTAAGTTAGAAGTAATTATTCAAGAAAATTAAAACCGCAAGTCAATCAGAACTTTCGTTCTAGAGTTATTGTGCCGGCATACATACACACAGACGACCAGACAAAAATTTTGTTTTGCATTTTCGGAAACAAAAAAAGGTTTTAAAAAATGGGGGTAAGAAAATTTTTTCGTCTGCACGAATGCAATACTGAGGCCCCATAGGAAGGGCCTCAGTAAAACTATACCAAGTATGGTAAACAATGAGTTGACATATTGTTGTTTATTTACGATGTCTGAACAATACGCAAGTTTTAATTTAGAAGGATTCCTGCTCGTATTTGAAAATGCTGAATCTATCGAAGGGAAAAATATCTCGACACTACTGATTTAAATATAAATGAAGGAATGAGTATAATTGGTATTGTCTTATTCGATAGGACAGTGAAAATTAGTGCGAGAGAAAATCCGCGAATACGTAATGATGTCTGGAAATAATTTATTTATTTTGTTAACGGGAAACCCCATTACTTTGTTAATTACATTCTTAAATATATTATATTTCAATTATGTATGTATAATATATACTGGACTTATTTAAATATAAAAATTATAATTGTATACATAAAACTGACAATATAATCCATATTTAAAGGGAGCGTAGAATATAGTTTAAAAAATTACTTTTGTTTTATTTTATGTTTAAATTTGTTATAGAAGTCATTAAAAACATCAATAATGTTTTTACAGTCATTTAGAATGTTAAGTGTTTACCCACTATGCATAAACACGTTAAATTAATGAAATTAATGAGAACTTTTTACTGTTGTTTTCATCTGTAGGACGGACTCATAACCGCCTAAGCCCAGAGTAGGGACGTTTACTTTTGTGATGAAACAATGTAGACGTTGCGGTGATATTACAGCGCTACCTTGTTATACGTTATTATAAAAGCCCATAAAATAAAATCATATTAATGAATCAAATGTGACGTTCCAAATACGATACAATTCATACTTTATTTTTATATGGACCATGTTATATAAATATTTTATATTCCATCTAAATAAAACAGAATTAAGATAAACTTGAAATTAAAAGCTTAGAAGACAATTTAAACTTCTTATTTCTAATCCCAAAAAAATTATCAGAAAAAGTATGATAATATAATGCTGTTAATTAATATCAAAGGTAAATATAAGAACTTTGATAAAATACTTAATACTGGGCAACATACTGCTCCATAATATACAGTACTACCGGTTACGTAAGTAGCAAGCGATCCTTGGTGTCTCCATCTATGAACGCGGACAAACTGTTAGGTCTGCCAGGTCTGCGATGTAAAGACTAAAGATAGCCATCTCAAAGATGTGTAACTTGTACACATTACTGTGCTGACCTGTATGCGATATTATTGTGATTTATAAAAATTAACATCGTATAAATGTTTGTCACAGGAAGTAACTAAAAAGAAGTACAAAAGATGTTTATGTAACTGCTAATTCAAGTATTGCAGCGTACATAAAACTTCATTTGTAGATATATGCGAGGAATGTTAATGAATAATATGTTAAACTTTAAACATCTATGGGATATTTTAGTATCGTTTCAAAAATATATCAAGAAAAGTATATATGAGAAACGTTACAAAAAAGACTGGTAACGTTTAATTTTTAGTGGGTAAGCTATGCCTCAGAAGTCTTCATATGTAATAGCAAAGGTGTTCATGTATGATAGAAAAAACGATCAACAGGGTTGGCCAGAATAGTTCATTGTATTTACATATAGTATGTTAACTTTCCAATAATGACCACATGAGAACGGTACCTATAGAAAAACAATGCCCTTGAATAGAGTGAAATAGTATACATGCTCACTAACTTAATGGTAGAGGTGTAATCATGCGTCCAATCACGGCAGGTGAATTACTCACGTCTAAATATAATTTAAGCGTCTCAGTTTTAATTTGCTTGATGTGTTAGTTCTGTAATTTTAACATGTATTTTTCCCTTTTTCTTACCAAATCGTAATAAATAATTTCTTGCAAATGACATTAATCGACTTCAGTTTACCTTATAAATTTGTTTTTAGAATTTTTGATTTATTTGTGTCTTTTAGTTTTTAGAGCTAGACCAAAATTGCCTCCAAGCAGATCTCAAGTGCAGCTTTTAACGCAATCTGAAGAAGATCCAAAATTTTTCCAAAATTGCAAGACTTTATTAAAAAATAAGGACTACCTATTAATACTGTTTTCGTTCGGTATAACGAGTGGTTTATGGAATAGTTTTGGAATTGTAGTCAATACTTTATATATAACGTATTTTCCTGTAAGTATCCAAGTGAAATGATTTAAAAATAGTATTAGTACAACTTAGAGTGACGCCATTTTTGGTTGGCGTAAATCTTATATGAAGACGTTATTTTAAACATAGCTTTCGGTAAAAATATACTACTTCCTTAATTTTAATATTGAAAACCGTCACGAAGACATCTTAAAAGTTACTGGAAAATTACTTTGACTTTTGGTATCTAAACTACCTACGTGAAATAATTGATTTGTCTGCGAATTTCCTTCAAAACTAAACATACTTATACGATTTCTTTCCGATACAACTAACACTGGAAAATAATTAAATACATCACATTTCAAAATAATGTTTAGTTTTCTGAAAGTTAGATTTAAAATCATTAGATTTGTTTTATGAAAAACACAATGTTTAAAAGTTAAAAATATAGTAATTTCTTTTGAACGATTCTGTAAAAAAATCCCAAATAGTCCAAATGAACGGATCCCAAGATATGGCCAGATACCGCCCTTAAAATAAATTTCATGGCGTTATATCTGGTGATATAGGTAGGGCTACTTGAATTATTGTATAGCATATAGCAAAGATTTTATAAATAGGTTTGATCCTGACAACCAAGAGTGACAGAGATTCACGTAAATTTCAAATAACTGCTGTGTTAAAAGTTTGTCACAATCATTTTTTATCTATATTTCAGAACGGTGAAAAAGATATAGGAATTATTTCTTTAACAGCAATTATAGCAGGAGGGTGCTTTGGTAACGTTTTATGGGGTCATATTTTGGACAAATACCACTTATTCAAGTAAGTATTTTATTAAAATCATATCGCAACATTAACAAAACAACTATTGAAAATGAAAATTCTACGACATCATATTTTTTACTAAAAGTAATAAAAAAAGAATAAACCTATTGGATATGTAAATAATTGGGTATTTTTTACTTTCAGAAAAACAGCCTTTGCAGTATTAACATTTTCAAGTATTACTTATGTTTTAATGGCATGCTCAATAATGCTAAAAAGTAGGATAGCCACATATTTCACAATTCCAATATTTGGGTAAGTAAATATAATTCGGAATTACTTCTAAAACCAAAGAAAATTTTTTAAAAAATTCGCGCTTCCGTGCATAATTAGAACCTGTGCGTATTTTTTATCGGACCATCGTCTTAACTAAGATAGAGGAATTATTTTTAAACAAAAGATTCAAATTGGAGAAAGGTGGTGAGTTATATCATATGGGAGTATTTTTGGATCTTGCGAAAGCCTTTGATACTGTGGATCACAAGCAGTTGCTAGAAACTTTGTTTGATTACGGCTTTATGGGTGTATCTTATAATTTGTTAAAAACCTATTTAAGCAGTAGGGAACAACATGTTGAAATTAATAATACTCTCAGTAATAAAACCATAATTAAGTACGGAGTACCACAGGAAACTGTATTGAGTCCAGTACTCTTTACAATTTATCTAAATTACATCTTACACTTACCATCATCAGGAACAATAATTAGTTTCGCAGATGACACTGTGATTCTACTATGAATCGTGTAGTTGAAAGGATATAAAAAATTCGGTAGAACTTGATGTAAATAAATTAATTGACTGCTTCAATCAGAAATTACTTACCATCAACTTTCCGAAAACACACTTTTTGCCATTTGCATGTTACGAAAATACTTTACCTGCATACAATCTCTTGAGCATCAATAATCATGGTACCGAAATCCGAATACAATCTTCCAAATCTGTCAAATATCTGGGTATTTATTTAGACTGTCATATGAGATCGGATGTTCACGTTGGAAAAGTTACAAATACTTTAAGAAGTTTTATGTACAAATTCAGATTGCTAAAGAGAATTTTAGAATTGCCACAGTTGAAAATAATGTACCATGCATTGATAGAATCTAGACTTTCGTACGGAATAATTGGATGGAGTACAATACAGCTGCGACTTGCTATATAAAAAAATAGATATAATACAAAAAACTTTTATTAAAATTATGTTAGGTAAGCCTCGAGTGTACTCATCGGATAATCTATTTCAATCTGGTTTTCCAGATTTAAGGCAACTTTATTTTCTAAAAATGTGTATCGAAACCTATAAAAATTAAAATGAACTTAAATATATAGAGCATCAATATAACACCAGGGCCAATACTAATAATCTCGTTCATGTACAAACAATAAGCCAAAGGGGATTTGTACATAACTCTTCTAGACTATTTAATTATCTGCCTGTAGATATAAGAGAAAAAATCCGTAAATATTTTTAAAAATAAAATAAAAAGGCACATGTTGCAAATCAATAGACATGAAGTTCACGCCATAGTCGATCCTATATTCTTAGTATAAAAAAATTATAATATTCTTTTAAATAAATAATATGATTGATTTTTCATGTTTTCGATTTTGATATACTTTGTAATAATAATGCATTTAGTTTTTAATATTTACTTTTTATATATTTGCCCTGTAATTTCAATGTTTTTAGTCGATTATAATTATTTTTATAATTATTATTTTGTATAATTATTCTTTTTTAATATAATTCAATAGATCTGTTTTAATAATTATTATTTTCATAATTTTATTGAATTTTTATACATTTACAGTATGGTTCAAATGAAAGGAATAAATTCATTATAATGGAACTAGTTGGTTTTTCGAAAAAATGCTCGGACAGGTCAATTTTGTTTACTCAAAGCGCAATTTTTTAAATAGGATTTAATTTTCCCCCACTTCACATTTTTGGACAGTGACGTCATTGACAATTTTTTTAAATAGTAACCCCATTTTCTTTTTCTTGATTTTGATAGGTCTTGCAATTTCCTACTCGGAAACATAATATTTGAAATATCTTACATAACAATTTTTTTGAATAAAAGACATTTAAAGATCAGACACATATATTTTATTTTATTTTATTTTGAGAACACAATAAATGAATAAAAGATTATTTGTAATTAAGTGCTTCATCTAAAAAAAAAATAATAATAATAAAAAAAATTTGTGAAATTGTTATTAAATTCTTTTTATTAATATTATTATTTTTTTAGATGAAGCACTTAATTACAAATAATCTTTTATTCATTTATTGTGTTTCAAAATAAAATAAAATTTATGTATCTGATCTTTAAATGACTTTTTTTCAAAAAAAATTGTTATGTCAGATATTTCAAATATTATGTTTCCGAGTAGGAAATTGCAAGATCTATCAAAATCAAGAAAAAAAAATTTTGGTTACTATTTAAAAAAATTGTCAATGACGTCACTGCCCAAAAAAGGGAAGTGGGGGAAAATTAAATTCTATTTAAAAAATTGCGCTTTTAGTAAACAAAATTGACCTGTCCGAGCATTTTTTCGAAAAACCACCTACTTCCATTATAATGAATTTATTCCTTTCATTTGAACCATACTGTATATGTAACTGAATAGGTATATATAAAAAAAGTATCAACAGCAAATCCACGTGCTGGCTTAGCCTTAGTGAATTTACTAGGTTACTTACACTTATGTGTATTTAGAATAGAATAGAAACAATTTTAAATCGTTTGCAATCGTTTCGATGATGCTGATGTTGTCAACGAAACATGCGTTGAGCAACAAGTGCAGTAGTTTGGTTCCAGTTTCTAAACTTTGTAGTCATATTAATTTATATTTACATGTTTTAAAAAATATGAATATGAAACTTAAGATTATCTATAAATAAATTTAATAGATGCCATTAATTTAATTTTAATTTTTTAAGTGATATCTTGAATGATGTGGCAGATGTTCCAAATAAATCAATCATATTCTTATTTTTATTCGCTGTTCGTGTCATTCTAGTGATCGGTTCGTTTTGACCATAATTAATTAAATTAAGTATTTCTGAGTCTTGAATATTATTATTTATTATTTTATGTAAGAAACACAGGATTAAAATAGTATATTATGCAACGATCATGTATTAATAACCATTACATGAGAGTTGCATACGCTATTTTTTCTACACCCGATAAATAATCAAGAACTATAAATATTATATTCATATTGGTATTGAACACAATAACAATAATTACTCGTGTATTTCTATAAAAAATTCTACAAAATTGTAATTAATGGTATTACTTCGGGTATTGGTATTTCCCTAGATTTTTGCGGCAAAATATTTTGTACTGTATTTTCTGCTTTCTCCGATATGTGTGGAGGAGTCTTCTATATCGCTGATATCAGACATTTTAATATTATAATTAACGAAGTTTAGTTATCTACCAAAATTTAATACGTTTTGACAACTAAAACAAATACATAGGAACCTAGGACAAACGTCAAACAGCATGCTTGATTGAAAAATTGTAGGTTTCTATTGATTAAAAATCTGTATCGTAATGAAAAATCTGTATCGTAATGAAAAATCTGTATCGTAATGAAAAATCTGTATCGTAATGAAAAATCTGTATCATAATGGGTATCATTATGAAACGGATTATGGGCATATAAGTGCATTATTATAATACGGGTGTAGAAAAAATTATTTAAATGAGGAATGTCCACCTTTGAGTGTGAATATCTCGAAAACCAAACACTTTATGAATTGTCGACAAAAGTACATGAGTTATTTAAAAAACATCAAAAAATGTAAAAGTATAGTCCAGTTTTTGGACAGTGCCGTAAAATTTAGAGGGGATGAAATTGTTACTTATCAAAGCCGCTGGCAAAGTTTATTTTACTGATTGGTTTGCTGATAAATAAAAAAAAAAATTAGAGCCATTAATAATTTTTGAATTTAACACCCTGTATTTCTAAAACCAGTAATATTTTATCTAAGCATGTTTCGTTTAATCGTCTTATTTTTAATCAGAGAATATTCAGTTGTTTTGTGTCCCATTCTGAATGTATTAAAGTTAGTGGTAGACAAACTGTTTCTTTCTTGGTTAATCTACTTAGTAATCACAACAAATACCAGCTTGCTAGATTTATTTTAAGACAATGGAATTTGTGCTATTTACTTTTTTGTTATCGACTTTAAAAAAAATGTATTTAGGTTTCTATTATTTCTGGACCTTCCCTCCAAAACGTCTGTAAAAGATTGGCAAGGGGTTTAGTAACACCCGGTATATTTATTTACGGATTTTTATAAAATTTGTTTTAGGCACAAAAAATAAATTATGTATACTGGGTGTTCAAATTAAAGTGTTACAGTTAAATACAGTTGAAAATATGCATTTTATAAAAAAAAGTTTCAGGCAAAAGTTTTATTGTATTTTGGTGGAAACATTTTGGCTAAATTCATTTTTTTATAGCTTACTAATTTTTTTTACATATTCTTAAAGTTCATAAAAAAATAAGAAACTTAAAAAAAAATTTTTATTGGACTTCTACTTATTGAATAACATCTTCTTGAAAATTTTGCAGCGCGAAAAAAGTCGTCCCCGATTTGGCTATAAAAAACGATTTTAACCAAAATGTTTTCCCCAAAAAAAACTAAAACTTTCGTCTAAAACGTTTTTTTAAAGGCGGTATTTAACTGTAACACTTTAATTTGAACACTCGGTATATTAAATTAATTAACAAAACATAAAAACACTATTATAATACTAATAGCTATATTATAAAAACAAAAAATAAAAAATGTATAAGCAACTCCCAAAAAGCTAATATATGTGAACAACTAATGCACTTCTGTAAAGTATAATTTTGACGTATGAAGTGATATTTTTTTGTAATGCAAAATGATCTGGTTTATGTAACCAGTTGCATAATGTTCAACATTATGAAACTGGTTTCGAATAATGCCTTTTGACCTAATTAAAGTACATTCCCTTGTGAAATTCAAGGAAAGATGGAATAAAATAAGAAAATGCAGAGTTGCCAGGGAGCTCTTAAGTTATCCTGACAACACTGCAGCAAACAAATACTTGACTATGACTAGACAGAATCTGCGCCCAGTCACAGGCATTTTGATTGGTCATTGCCAAGTACGGAAGCATCTCCATAACATGGGGCTGTCAGAATCCGCACTCTGTAGAGGGTGCGAACAAGAAGATGAGACCATCGAGCACATCCTTCACGATTTCTCGACGCTCTCATTTATTAGAAGATTTGTGTTCGGCGAGTATCGGCTAACACCGGCCGATATAAGAGAAGCACCTCTTGGCGACGTTGTCAACTACATAAAATCTGTAGGCTGGCTCACAAGATAGGAGGTGCCTATCATCTTAGGAGGATGCACAATGGGCCTAGTGAGGCCTAATTGCCGTGGGGTAACCCACTATCCACACGTTACAGATACAGATTATGTTACCATTTGTGAAAAGAAAACAAATAAAAATAATCCTTTTTGGTTTTAAAATCAATATATTCATTATTATTGAAAGTTTATATCAAATATGGGAAGGTTGACTTATAAAAATAGAATTTGGTTAAACGTATAACCTAGTAATAATGTTGTTTTGGTACTTATTTTCCATTCTAAATCAGCACAAAATAATTAAACACAATACACGACAAAATAACCCACTTGAAAACTAAATAACTTTAACAAGCAATATGAACACACTACAAGTCATTGATAATAAATTAATATTATTTTCTGTTTGTCAATCAAATGAACAAAGTTTTGCATATGCAACTAACAATAACAGAAAGTAATATTGGTTGCCTAGATGTTAGTAATTTTTTACCAAAACATAATTTCACAAATAATCTAGGCAAAATTAGAAGAATTATTATATATTACATGCAGTTTTATACTCAATTTTTCATAAATTTTCATAACATTTTCTTGGTATCTGGACATTAAGTAAAAAAAACTATTTTCAGGTTCTTCACAGCAAGTTCTCTAGTAATATCCTATGAATACGCATTAGAAGTGACTTATCCAATTCCAGAATCGGTGAGTTGCTCTCTTGTAAACGCATTTATATTTCTATTTGGAATAATAGCGACGTACGTAATAGAAGGATTGATGGATTCTGCCGGCCATTTAGCTGCTCACATATTCGTATTCAGCACGTTTATAATATGTACGATTACTACTCTGTTTATATCATCGAATTTGAAAAGAAGGGAGGCCAATTTAGCATCCAACGCAGAAACTGATGCTAGGTAAAATATGTTTTACCAAAGGATTAGACGATATTGATACAATGTAGTTGTGATAATAAGGGCTAGAGTATTGTCTATTCAGTTTAGAAATTATGGTTGTAGGTTTTAAACTTCCATGGCTTTGGCTTTACTGATTTTATATGTATCAATTTATGATTGATTTATGGTTAACTGGACAAATTTTATCTGGATGCACACCAATTTAGAAAAAAAACTAGTACCGAAATATTGTGGTAATTTCTCATTTCTGAGCTGATCTCACGAAAATGAGTATACAAACTCGTAATTACCGACCACGTAATTAATGGCTAGCTAGGCAAGCCCAAGTTATTTTTTGATTTTAGTTTTTTCACTAAACGGACTGTTGAGTTTATGTTTTGTTTGTGTTTTCTGGAACTTAAAAAACAAAAACAAAACTGAGACAAACCCGAAACTGTTTCTACTAATAAATATATGTACATAAATTCATCCAGTGTTTCAAAATAAATTACTTTTCTATAAAAATACGTTATTTTTTACCTGATCCAATTTGATACATAATTTAGACTATACAACATGACCGTTTCCAGTACACAGACTCGAGTTTCAAAACACGTCGAAACCTTCTGATGTTACCGCTTCCGAGCGGGACTCGAAAAACAAAACTCCAACTGTCGCAAAACACGCCAGTCTTCAAAAAGTTTGCGAGAAATTGCAGTTTTGCTTTTTCGACACGAGTTTGTGTTTTGTGTTTGTTTTGTCCGTTTAGTGGGAAACCCTCAGAGTAAGTAAGTAGTAAAGAGAGGACAGTAAACAATGTTTGTGTCGCCATGATAATATGGTCGAGAATTATAATTAGAGAGAAATAGATTAATATCTCTATCTCTTTGTTTGTATTTGTCAGTTTGACAAAGCTTTCCTCAGACAATTATTCCAGTGTTTAATTTAAATTTGTTTGTGTTGTAGTGTTAAAAGTAATTGTTATTAATATTATATTCATAACAAAAAAGTCATATTTTGTTTTCACTTCATTAAAAATGCACCTACCTACCTTTTAAAACATTTTATTTTATATTCTACTTGGTCAACATTTTCGCATTTAAAATGACCCAGCGAAATTGTTTTACGGTACGCTACTGCTGAGAATTCTAAAACGAGTGAGAAAGCCTTCATTAGAAAGAGAGATACTGATTATATGATAGCGAAATTAATATTGTATAACATTATGCAGTGGTGGCCTATCTGCTATTATATTATCTAAGGGGAAACCGCCATAACATAGAACTCAAAAATATAATTCTGAATTTCACATGAACAAGATTACTCTCTTTCTCTCTTAATTGATAACCTAGATACATGGAGGTAGGATATTAAAGGAAATGCTACGTTCATTTAAACATGTAAGGCGTTTTCTAATATTCATCAATGCAATCCAATATTCATCAAAACTGTTCTTTTATTTATAAATTTTTTTTAGATGAGTCATACATCATATTCTTAAATTCAACATAATTCTACTCTTTCTGGGGTCGACAATTTCGGAAAGTAAACACTCCATGTACAAGTGTAAATTAAAAATTTAAAAAAACCGACTTCAAAAACGTGCAGATGCCATCACAACATCTTAACCAAATTTATATGGGATCACCCCTGAGGTACCCCCTTTCTAACAAAAAAAGAATCATATAAATCGGACAAGGTAGTAAAGCATTATCGCTAAACATACATAGAAAAATGAAGAGTTTGAGGATTTTCTCATGGACCCGTTTTTAGATTTTGACCAAATTTATATGGGACCACCCCTGAAGTAGCCCCTTTCTAACAAAAAAAGAATTATTAAAATCGGACACCGTGTTAAAGAATTATCGCTGAACATACATAAAAAAAAAAAAAAAATATCGCGACGAATTGATAACCTCTTCCTTTTTTGAAGTCGGTTAAAAACTGAATCAACTTTTCTTCCATGCCATTTTACCAAAATTGATCATCTCGAAATATTGTGGCAGTTTTTTTTCCATGAAGTGTCCAACAAGCCAATATGCAATATGATCTGCCCGTTATGTGTATAGTTGCCCCTGAATTTGATGAAACCACATATGTTTGTTATTAATATCTCCATCCGGAGAAAATATTGTAATTTTTTTAGGTTTTATGGCTTCAGAGGGTGTCATATCTTTAGCCGAATATGGACACTTTATTTCCACAATTTCCCTTTCCTTTTCTCCTATCAAGCGCATGTTTTTTTTTAATTCTTCAATTAGTTTTCCCCCATTTAGTAGCTGCTAAATTTGTTATGTCAATAGTGTCAATTTTATTTGGTTAAGTTGGTTGCACTTCCCTTGTATAGATGTTCTCTATTATAATGAGATTAAACAATACATTAAAATAGAAACTCACAAGTGAAGGAAGTTTAGTATCAATATGGCGGACGTTGTGACACTTTTGACCACGTGATTGCGTCTCCTTCCCTATTTTACCTCCATGCGCCTAGATCGCTATCTCTCTTTTTTGCAAGAGATAACAACTGTATTGAAATAATTATTTTCACACTAAAAATATTATTTTTGAGTTGATTCATGTTTTATCATAAAAAGAGACAAAGAGGTAAATTAATCTTCCATATATTATGGTCAATCGTATTTCTAACAGTTAAAGATAGGTTCCGGTTGCAGAAACTTCCATTAAAATTTACGATTCTGACTATGAAGACATTAGAGAAGAAGGCGACTTGACAATGGACAAATTTCAAATTTCCATCCTTCTTTATATAAAGTTTGTCAAATTGACTGTAGTTGGCGGGTCGAACGTTAGTGACTTTAATTTTCTATGTTAGTCAATAATAGAGAGTTATTGCAAGTTCACTTAAGGTCAGTCACTATTAGTGCCGCTCTTATTTTGACATCTGAGCATGCGTAGATCACTAACTTTAACAAAGATTGTGCCTGTCCTTAAAAGAGAGTTATTGCAAGTTTACTTAAAGTCAGTCACTATTAGTTATTTTGACATCTAAGCATGCGCAGATGTTTACGTTCTAAAACTGACTTTATTAAGGATTGTGCCTGTCCTTAATTGTGGATGTTTAAGGGCAGCAGGTAGTGGCGACTTTATAGTTTTCGGATACGCTCGCCGTTAGAAGTTTTTTAATATTAAATATTTAATATAATCGTCATTTAAACCTTCTAAAATTATAATTTCTAATGCCTCTTTAATATTATAGACAACAAAAAAGATTAACTATAATTTAAAGTTTAGTGGCTGGCTTTATAAAAATTTGCAATATCTCTCTATTAAGAGGAAAATTTACATTACAAACTGAAAGACCTGCGGGGCAACGGTAGTTTAGTAGGTATAAAAATTACAACTTTAGGGTGGAGCCTAAATACTACAAAATTACTTCCGAGACTAAACAAAATCCGCATTCATTCATAATTTTAACAATTGCCTGTAGATACGAGGGATACGTATTCCAAACTCTAACGCGCGAAATTAAGACAAAGGAACCGAAAAATCCTAACACGGAGTGAGTCAGAGTTACCTAAATTAGGGGAACCAGAATCGTATTTGCTTTTCTCGGTGCATTGCGAGATATTGTTATAACGCAGTTCGATTTATTAGAGGGTTTCACATTATTTTTATATTTTAATTTCGTGAATAGGTTTAGTTAGATTAAATTACATTTAAGAGTATAGAGGTGTGAAATATAAATACAAATAACTAAAAAATAGACGATTGGTTCGAATAAGGTAATATCAATTAATACAGGGTATTTATTGAGTGCCGATACTTAAGGGTGTGAATCCTTTGGGTGTTAAAGTTTTAAGAAAAAAAAAATAACTATTTTATCATAAGTTTCTTATCACTCTAGATATTTTTATGAAATTTTTCCCAAAAAAAGTGTTTCCACTCATGGTGGGTTCCTACCAAATTTCAACAAAATACCTATCAAAAGCAGTTTCAATATACTGGTTTTCATTTTCTTACCCGAAAAGGGTGCTTCGTACGAAAGTACGTCATAAACCAAATTTGCTCCAAAATATATAAGAATTTTAAAGATAATTTTGGTTTTTAGAAAAAGCAGTGGCGCACCATATTTTTTTTCAAAAATATTCAGTTCAAACCCGGCACAGACGTCACTGGTAAAAATTTAAAAGTTTTTTACGACAAAAGGCGAGATTGAAAGTGAAAGTTTAGTCTGTTGGTACATAATATACTATATTTATATATCTAATTTTTATTATTACACTGAATGTGACATGGCTTTTTTTTGCCTTTTTTGGATCAACAAAATATTATTTTAATGATTTAAAATAAACTGCCAGTAATAATAATAATAATTATCTGTACTTAAACATATGCAAAAAGAAATCATAAAACGACGCATAAAGAAAGCACCAAATTATTAAACTTTTAATTTACGTAAGATGTGTTGAAAGTAATTTTAAAAAACCGACTTTAATATCGTGCAGATGCCATCACCACATCTGAACCAAATTTATATGGGACCACCCCTGAGGTACCCCCTTACTAACGAAAAGAATTATAGAAATCGGACGAGGTGGTAAAGAATTATCGCTAAACATACATAAAAAATGAAAAGTTTGAGGATTTTCCCATTGACCCAATTATTAGATTTTGAACAAATTTATATGGGACCATCCCGGAAGTACCCCCTTTCCAGCAAAAAAGAATCATTTAAAGCGGACATTGTGTTAAAGAATTATCGCTGAACATACATAAAAAAAATATACAGACGAATTGAGAACCTCCTCCTTTTTGAAGTAGGTTAAAAAGGATATAATAATCTATATTATTTGTAATAACTAAAAAACTACTATGTGGAGTTATATACATCTTCTTAAATTAATCTTATATGTAAAAATGTGGGTTCGGTTCCTAGAAGAGTACCTAGTTCACTGTGCAGCCAAATTTATATTTATGGTACAGAATTTTTTGAATAAATAAAGTTTTAGGTTTAATTAAACACTAAGTTTTATCAGGAATAACATTTTCTGAAAAAAGTAACATAAAAAGCAGACTTTTTGCGAGCCACTATATATATATTTTAGAGGACAATCCATATTATTTTAGAAAAATAAATTAAAGTTTTGTATAATCACATAAATGTGATTTATCTTTTAGAATATTGTATATGTTTGTCAAAGTTTACTAATTTAAAAAAAAAGAAATATTCTTCAAAAATTTTCTTAAATTTTTTAACACGGTACAAAATACCTTAATCCGTTTATAGTTATCGAAATATGTAAAGAATTTTAACTCGTTTAAAAAGCGTTCTTTCTCTTTCCATTTCCTATAAAAACTAATAGACCTTTTTGAAATCGGTATTCGGTGACTTTTCTTCTGTTTTATTGCATTGAAAATGATATGATTTACATAAAAAACAAAAACTGACTTATTATTTTTGTGAAATAAAAATATGTTGTTATTTTCACAATTTTTGACTACTTTTCGTTTCTAAAAAAGAAGTACGATGTTCTTCTCTAGATATTAACACATTGTTTAATTGGCTTTCTATTTTTTTTAAATATTCTTTAGTATTTTCAAAATTTGGGAAACAGTATAGCATTGAAATTGTGAGTACGCTTTTAATTAATTGTCTGTTTTTTTATCTCACAATGTGTCGATAATAAGTTATATAGAAAAAGTTAGTATTCAATATCATCCAGACAAAAAACAAAAACATGTTTAAATGAATATATTAAATAAATTATGAGTATTCTTTAACAGAGATATATTTATTTGTATTATGGAAATAATGTTTATGTCAACAAACTTATGTTCGATATTTGTATCAATTTGTTAAAATAACTCTTGTATAATGATAATATTAAATTTAAAGGTTTTAAATAAGGACTTGCAGATATCACAATTCAAAATTCTTTTTATTGGCCATAATACTTTTTTTGGAATTAGTTTCTGTTTTTCAGTTAAGCTCCATAAATTTATATTTTAATCTGAACGCTACTTAAGCGCAGTAAAGTTGCAACAACTAAACAATATAGTGAACTTTTCGAAAATTTCTAAGTTAAAATTAAAATCAATTTATATTTAAAATTAAATAAGTTAACTAACATTTTTGACCGTTATGAAGTTAATAAAGTTATAAATAACGTCGTTACAAAGATTTATGTTTGAATTTTAAATTTCTATTGATGATAGTTACTCATCTACGTATTACAATAACAATACCTACATGACTTGGCTTTGACACAAAACCCTGTATAGCAAAACTTCTAATCCGAATCAAAATCTTGAAACTATTATTTGGGGACTTAAAAGCGTGGTCCACTAGTTGGTGTAGCCTTTTAAAACATTTGGTGTAATAATAATTATATACCTATCATCAATTACCACTGCCACTGGTAAAATCCTAAATTTAAAGTAGTGTAATATAATAATAAGAAGACATTAATCATATCTTAAATGGATCGCCTACTACCATGTTTTAGAAATAAATAAAATTTAATTCTTAAATTAATAAAAATATTCAAAATAATTTAAGATTCCTTGCGTTATGTTAATCAACATTAAACAAAATTTCTCACGAATTATTTAATATTCTGTCTCGTACTTCCATGTCTCTATTGCTTCGCTGTCAACAAGTTCCGGCAAGACATATTGCATATAAAAAATTTTAATTTTATTTTGTATCTTTTTTTCTCAAAAGCTGTCAATATGAGATATTTTCTCCACTTCTAATCCTCCAGAAGTCCAAAAGCACAAAATTCAAAAATCCATTTGTGTTATGTGCAGCTAGCCCTGAATTTGAAAATACCAATAGTGGTTCTCCTTAATGGAATTGTTCTTTTTCCAAAAAGTTATTTCTCTACTGCATATTTCTTCTGCTACAGTCCGCACTTCAGCTCCATATGGACATTTTAACTCTATCATAGAGTTTTGTTTTTTTTTTTTTTTTAATTCCATCCAGACTGGCAGCAACATAATCAAATTCGAATTCAATAAAATGTCCACATTTACAAACTTTTACTTGCAAATAAATTTCCAAATCTTATTTTGTTTTGAATTTATGGTCCATGCCATATCGGGTGGCTTTCGTTTCTTTTCTTAGATTTTTTCAAAAGAGACTGATTCATATTTTGAAAGTAAATCCAGAGAGGTATGGGTTAAGCCTTTACCTGTACTTACATAAAATTTCTTTTAGTAAAATTAAAAAATAATCCGTAAAATTGGTGTACTATGAAACCTTTGCATATAATATATATGCCAATCTTAGTATTACAGAAATAAATTACGTAAAAAATAAGGTGTACAAATACATAAAATTTATTCATCCCTCGTAAAACATCAGTAAAATATATTATAAATTGTTTTCATTCACAAATATTAATTTCTTAAAAATCTAACAGAGGCGCCACTTTCCAGACGAAAAATCTTGCAATGTAAGGGTTTCGTAGTACCCCACTTTTAAAGTTTATTTTTGACTATTTTTAAAATAAAAAAATATGTGTGTGTAGGTAAAGGTTAAATCTATGCTCCTCTGGAACCACTTTTTCAAAATTCAATTTAGTTTTTTCTAAAAAAAATTGAGAAAATGGGTAAAACAAGTCGAGTTTTGTATTTTTTTTTAGAAAAAACTGTTTCAAATTTTAAAAAAGTGTTTCCAGAGGAGCATAGATTTATCCTTTACCTACACGTACATATTTTTTTCTTTCAGAATAAGTCAAAAATAAACTTTAAAAGTGGGGTACTACGAAACCCTTGCATGCTCCGCTCTACAGCCAAGTAAATACTCCTCTTAAGGACATGCACAATCTTTATTAAATTCTGTGATCTGCGCATGCTCAGATGTCAAAATAAGAGCGGCACTAATAGTGACTGACCTTAAGTGAACTTGCAATAACTCTCTAATTATACATTACATTTAACTTACTAGTCAATAAAATTTGTTTTTTTCAGTTTTAATGTTAGATGAAGAGTTACTACTAATATTTTTTTGTTGGCTCCCAATTTTGACATTGTAAATGTTTTTATAGGATCCTACACGTTTAGGACAGTGGCAGTATATCATTCCCGGGGCCTTAATTCTTGACTTCACGGGAAACTTTTCAGATGGGTAAGAATTCAACTGCCTATTTTCCAGTGGTATTTTAAAACGGTATTCTTCACTAGGTTAGGAATCTTGATTATTCGTATATCCAACGTATGTCTAGTATTAAATACGAAAATATTGGAAACTGACCAATAATAATTTTTAAGATATTTCAATACTTTCAAGTTGTTGTGTTGAGAACATTGATTTTTCTGATGTCAATGATAACGTACATTTTTCATTATTAGGCATTCGAACGACCTGTCAAAATGCTGACAAGTAGAAACTGACAGTTTAGATATGGCAACCGTGTGGGCTTGTTGTCATTGACAGGATCAGTGATACATATATAGTTATATAAATTGCTCCAAGCGGGTCGTTTGCGAGTGGCCATATTGCCTCGCAAATGCTCATTAATCAGAAATGGATCAGCAGAACTGAGTTTACAAACCAATTTTCAGGCTTTGAATATAGTAAA